ATGAGGCTGGCCTTGCACTAGGTTTCTCGTCCCCCCAAGAAGGGTTATATCATAGGGTTTAGGGTTTAGGGTTTTAGGGGTTTTAGGGTTTTTAGGGTTTTAGGGTTTAGGTTCTAGGGTTTAGGTTTTAGGGCTTAGGGTTTCGGGTTTAGGGTTTTGGGTTTAGGATTTAGGGTTTAGGTTTCGGGTTTAGGGTTTGGGGTTTAAGGTGGGGTTTCTAGTCCCCCCAAGGGTCATAGTAATAGGGGTTATATAGGGGTTTTATAGGGTTATATAAGGGTTTTTAAAGGTTTTATAGGGTTTTATAGGGGTTATATAGGGGTCATAATGGAAAAGTAAATGGAAACTACTATTTAGGGTTTAGGGTTTATTCTAAAATGGTGGTTATATAGGGTATGTAGTTCTCCTTAAGGAGATGGGATGGGGTTTAGGGTTGAGGGTTTGGGCACATGGGGGGCTTCTGTTTTACTTGCTTTGAGCGTGTTGATGGCTTGCTTTTCTTTTTTTCCGGAAGTTTCTATGGATTTCTGATGTCTGGTTAAAAAACCGCCTAGGACAGTTGCAAGGAAGGTGAGAATTCCCTGCAGAACTACAGCAACCCCACCCGGCCAACAACTCCTTCCTGTGGCAAATGAAGAAGCCGGGCGTCCGGATTCTTCAACTTAAGGTTCTTAACCCCTATATTATCCCAAGAAGCCATGGTGTCCACCTGTTTTTCCATTTCTTTTTCCATGAAGAGGTGTAGTATCCCCAAACCCTCATCCCTAAATAGTGGCACCCAATCATTTTCCATGTTCTTTTCAATTTCCATTTGATTCTGCACTTCCCTATATCATCCTTATGTGTTCCTGTGTTATCCGCAAAGGCTAAGCATGACTTTGAAAAACAAGGCTGCCAGCCCTGAAGCATGTTTGAGTAGTTTCCATTTTCCATTCCGCTATAACACCTTGATATTTCCCCCTGTATATTATTGGGGAAGGGACCCTAAACCCTGGACCCCATCAACATCCTCAACCCTAAACCCTAAATACCTATAGAAATCCTAAGCCCTAAACCCTCAAGCCCTATGTACATACATACATACCTAGATAGATAGAGAGAGAGAGAGAGAGAGAGATAGATAGATATATATATATATAAGCCTCCTAGTATCCCCCTGAATACGCCCTTAATACTCCCATGTATAACCCTCTTAAGGAGTGTAGGCCCTGAACCCCTAAGCCCCGGGGCCTGCGTTTTTGCATATCGTGTTTTTTTGAGGTAAGGTTTGCATATACTTCTAGTACGCGCATACGCTGAATTTACGCAGGCTCCATATCAAACCCTGCTATTATGCAGATATAGTCGCCCTTTAGTAGATAGAATATGGGGTATATGCGGAACTTATTATAATATGCCCAAAGCCATATTCCATCTACTTAAGGGGGACTATAGGCTTCTAAGTAGGGTTTTCATACAGCAATGGTATGTATTTGCTTATGCACATGCTGAATGTACGCAGGCTCCATAGCACATCGTAGGATTATGCGCATAGGTATCCAAGAGGAACCATAGCAGGCTCCATAGCAAATCCTAGGACCTAAGATTATGCTTATAGAAAACCATTTGTAGTCTTTATAAACACGTCCGTGTTTATAAACAAGGGTGGGTGGGGGGAGGAGGGGTGGGGGGTGGGGGGTCAAACGTTACCCTAAATCCTAGATCCTGAACCATAAATTCCCCTATACACATAATACACACGCATGTCTATATATATATATATATGTATCTACATCTGTATATATATATATATATGAGGAGAGGATTGCTAGATTGAGGCATCCCGTCCAAGGCTGTCGCTTCGGAGCCGAATCGAAACACGCGACGCCTGGCTCATTCCGATGTTGAGCTATGCTTTTTGTTGATACGTTTTGAAGGTTGTTGGGGTTTTTTTAGGGCTGAAAGATGTGTTTAGTTTTTGTCAGTGTTTTTGCGTTTGTTTAGGGTTTAGGGTAGCTAGGATGATGTAGGTTTTATGGAGATGATACAGGGCTTTAGGGATTATATGGGGGGTATAGAGGGCTCATGTATTCGGGGAAATATTACCAGAAGTATATTACGAAGCACAGTATACTACCCTAGCCTCCCTCGGGGCACTGCCCCGCGCCTCTCTCTCTCTCTCTCTCCCACCCTAAACCCTAGACCCCAATATAATACATATATACATATATAATGATAATATATATGTGTATATATATACATTATATATATATATTCACTACTAATATCTACTAATTGCTGCGCCAAGGTGCAGAGCTGCACGAAGATCTGAGGTCCAAGCATACCACTGGAGAGTGGCACCAGGGTGGCCAGGTACCCGAGTTTCACACGGACCTCGCCGTCCGGCGGTTAGGTTTACTTCCTGGTTCATAGCAGGGAATGAGAGAATATACCCGCTATACAAGCATTGTAGAAAATATTCATCTTTTTCCTGCTGAGAACCAGTAAGTTTAGAGTTTCGGGTTTAGGGACTAAGCTCTCTTCTGTCACTCGCTCTCTGGCCTCGATCCCGGTATCGTCCAAGGCAAAGCCCTGCAGCAAGTCTTAGCATGTGAGCCTTAAAGGGGGATTTATAGGGGTCATGCAGGGATATCTAGCCATACATAGGGGTTACATAGGGATATATCATGGTATAGTCTAAACTCCTAGTTTCCCCCTTAATAGCCCCCCTTAATACTGAAGTATATCACTCCCTTTAAGGAGCTTAGACTATAGTTCATATGTCCGCCGTCAGACCCGCATGGAGGCAAGGACTTGCATCAATCTGCCTTCCATACAAGATGAAACTGCTCTTTTGGCAGTGGTGAGTGCGGACCACTGATCCACTCCTGTACCTCAACTGTTTCCCACACATTGCCAATAGTGCTCTTTCATTGATCGGCCCTGACTTTTTAGCCGAGGCCTGGGCAAATGGGATCAGAAGCACGTACCGTAGCAGCAGAATGACTGCAGAAATGAATGCCGTGGCTGTCAGGAGCCAATTTCGCCTGGAATTAACTGCGCTCTCGCATGATTCTGCCCTGTCCCCCGTGCTGCAACAACCGCCAGTGCAGAATGGCAGCATGCGCAGGGATCCATTAAACTGTTCGACAGCCACAATACCTGCACAAGATCCAAGACTCCATCAAATTCGTGAGGGCTCTTAGATGGGTTCAAAGGCTTCCGATCTGTGGTGCATAGAAACTCAGACCTGCCTAGACAAAGAACCAGGACACAGCAGGAGTCCACTGTGAAGGGCTGGATCATAACGAAATTCAGCAGCAACCCCATTTCCTGTGCTGAACGATGTCCAATGCAATTGTGGACTACAGCTGAGTGATTCGTGACACACTCCCAAGTGCGCCACGATGAATATTCCACCAATCCAGAAGAACAGGGCCTTGGATCAGCGCATGTCCAGGACTGACTTGCGGTGGCCAGTCCGCTTCTCTTTGCTCGCGCCCTAAACCCTAAAACCTACAACAAGGAGTGATGCCAACTCGTCCAAGGATCCAGGGCAGAATTGGAGTTCACGTACATGGCTGGAATCTGAATCTTCATCGACAGCGCCTGTGCCTGTATGGCCGAGAGCACCCCGACGATCAGGTGACCCCAGGTGACCTGCAGGGGGCCGTGGCCACACTGGAACAACATGGCTGGGCTGAATCAAGGCACATCTCTCAAAGCAGTCCAGGGCAACCCCAACAATATCAGAATTGCATTGCGGAAAAATAACACCCATCCGCATACGGAAACTCTGCCCAAAGTGCATCTGCGAGCTGACATACCAAAGGGTCATTCTATGAGCTTCTCTGGGTTTGTTGGCAACATGCTGTCAGAAGCAACAGCCTAACTTCCTCAAGCGCTTGGTGTTGGTACGGAAGCGCGACCGATCCTTTGCAGTAAAAATGGCAAAGAAGGCTCGCGCTACCATGAGGACACTAGTGATACAAAAATAGCTAGCAAGTCCAGTGCAACATGCTTGCGACGAGAATCACCACATTGTATTGCATCCAAACTATGCATGGCTATATGAGACTTTATGCAAGCTGGTGCAACGCCCTAGAAAATTCTAGTTGTTACGACTCCGTCCGCTCACTACCCTGAACCCTAAACCCTGAACCCTAAAACCGTGTCTCTCAAGCCTCCAAAATGGACTGCTCAGATCGCTGCAGGCCCAAGAGCTTGTCGTGATTGTGGGATTCTATTACCTGATTACCCAGAGACCCTAAAGAATTAAGGGTCTAAGGGTTTAAGACGTAGGGCTTAAGGGTTTAGGGATTTGGGACGCGATTACCTGATTGCCCACAGCCTAAGGATCCAAATATTGGGGTTATATAGGGGTTATATTGGGCTAACGGAAAAGAAGCTGGGAACTACTATTTAGGGCTTAGGGTTTTGGGATTCTCTTACCTGATTACACAAGCGTGGGACCCTGGGCTTGTGTAAGGATCATAGGGTTATACAGGGATTACAGGGTTATGTAGAGCTTAATTATAGGGTTGCATAGGGACTGTGGGGTGACATACGGGTTACAGGGTTGCATAGGGGGCATGGGTCGCCTACCAGCGCACTAACAAAACCAATGCAGAAGGTTCAATTGTTCCTAAACCCCAAACCCTCAAAAAACCCTAAGCCATAAACCCCCAAACTTAAAAACCCTAAACCCTCAACCCTACAGCCTAAACGGCTATAAAAAGCTGGCATGCTGCTTGACAGTAGAACATCGCAAGCACAATCACGTTGCTGATCACGAGCACGCCTGGCAATCGTGGTACTGTATACCCCCGATTAATAGGGTCAAGGGTTTAGGGCTTAGGGTTTAAGGTTTAGGGGTTAAAAACGTCCTTTGAAGGGCCTTCAGATTAGGTTCCTTTTAAAATCCCTATTAGTGGGAGTGGATTCAGTAATCAGGAGTGGTCCTTACGAGCAGTGTGGCGCACAGCTTACGCTCAAGATGCGCTCTCTCGTTAGACCATGACTCAACAAGACAACAGCACCATCTCTGAATTGAGTGGGGGTAATATCCCTATAAAACCCCATATAACCACTGCATAATTCCTATATAATTCCTATACAGCTCCTATATCATTCCTATACAATTCCTACATGATTCCTATATCATTCCTATAGTACTTAGTCCCCCTTGAGTAGATAGAATATGGGGTATATGGGGATCTTATTATAATATACCCAAAGCTATATTCTATCTACTTGAGGGGGACTATCACCCCTGAATTTCCAGACTGAGCCCCATGCCACGCCACATCAAAGCACTTGATCTCAGCGCATCCCAGCCTGCAGTCAATACAGATCTGCACTGTATTGGGGTTATGTTGGAATAATGGAAAAGAAAATGGAAACTACAGGGATTATAGGGGCTATATAGAGATTATAGGGCTTATATAGGGATGATGGAAAAGAAAATGGAAACTACTAGGTTATAGTAGGGTATCTATTGGGGTTATATAGGAATAATGGAAAAGAACATGGAAACTACTATGCAGGGTTTGGGTTCAGGGTTTGGGTTTAGGGCTCAGGGTTTACGGATTAGGGTTCAGGGATTAGGGTTTAGGGTTAGGGTTCACAGTTTAAATGTTCAGGATTTGGTAGTTTCCCAAAATAAGGGGACCCCAATATAAACCCCAAAATACTAGAATGCTTATTGTGGGCCCCCCAAAAAGGTACCCCTAATTTTGGGAAACCCCCATTTAGGGTTCAGGGTTTACGGTGGAGAGCCGGTGCGGAACGAAGAAGAAAATTGAACATCATCCCAAGAGTAGCGGTTTTCTAGGGGTTATATAGGGGTTTTATAGGGTTATATAGGGTTTTATAGGGGTTCTATAGGGATTATATAGGGCTTATATGGGGATGATGGAAAGGAAAATGGACACTACCATGCTATAATGGGGTACATATTGGGTTATACATGGATACTGGGGAAAGAAAATGGAAACTACTATATAACAACAGGAAGCACGGGGTTCCCTATGTAAACATCACTTTTGGGGTGTTGTGAACCCCTTCCACAAAAAAGGCGATGTTTATCGTTAAAAAGCAGTCTCCATAAACTTTCCTTAAATAGGAGGACCCCAATGTAGACTCCAAAGAACTTCAGTATTCATTATAGTTACACTCAAAAAAGTACCCCTAGTTTTGGGAAACCCTAAACCCTATATAAATCTATATAGTCCCTACATAACCCCCTACATCCCCTTTAAAGGGACCCCCTGATTTAGAGGGAACCTTGAAGCAAGCTGTGCAAAGCACAGTTGAATGGTCCAATGGCCTGCTGTTACATATGAAGTCATCGCGCCACACACCACGTTGCCAACGAACCAAAGCCTCAAGGATTTAGGATTTAGGATTTAGGGTTTAGGGTCAGGAATCTGGGGTTTTCCCAAAATTAGGAATACCTTTTGGGGGTCCCCATAATGAGGACTATATTTTGGGGGTCTATATTAGGGTCCCCTTATTTTGGGAAACTACCATGTGGGATTTCGCGTCTTTGGGTTTAGGGACTATAGGGAAAGATATAGGGCTTCTACAGGTGTTATGTGGGCATTCTGGGGTGGTAGCGATATTACCAACCATCAAGCAGAATGTGCAGGTTAAAGGGCGGTAGAGAGCCTTCTTCTCCATCTGACTCTCCATTCTTGACAGAAGTTCATATCAGCGCAGATACCCCTACATACCCCAAAAGCACAGTTTCCAGTTCATGTTCCGTTTCTCTTTCCATTTGATTCCCTATTATTGAGGGTAATATCCCTACATAACCCCTAAATAACCCTATATAATCCCTAAATCATCCAGGGTCCAATTTCTTTTCCATTCCCTAAAATTTTGAGTAGCTCTAGTTAAAACCCTGCATGCCCCAAAGTGCCTTATACCTTGCAAATGATGCTACTATTATAGTATAGTAGAGTCATGCAGGATTGTTGAGTATCAACCCTTTAAGCCCCTTCATAATCCAAGTTCACATTTCAGTCTGCGTCTTCTTGTCCATTTGGTTATCCATTATTGGGGGGAATATTCGCACTAAAGCCTAAACCCTAAACTATCCTGAATCCTACACCCTAAGCCTTAAACCCCAAACCCTAAAACCGCATCCTAGGGGCAGTCAAGCTATCTACTTTGTCTGTCGTGCGCGACATTCAGCATGCTAGGGCTGCCAGGGTTTAGGGATTAGATAGGCGCCATATACGATAATACGTATATGTATATATACACATGTATGTATAAATGTCATTTGGGGCTTATACAGGGTTGTATAGGGATACGTAATATGAATATTTTGGCCAAAGATTCGAGTATGTTGGGGTCTGTTGTGCGGTCTCCTGCTTGATGAACCTCCCGCTGTCCCGAGCCCCCCCTCAGCCCCGAACTCTCAAGCCCTAAACCCCCAAAACACTAAACCCTCAACCTTTAAACCCCAAAACCCTCAACCCCCCAAACCCACCCAGTGGTTGCGCCCGAGCAGCAAGTATACCAGGCCCAGCAGATTGGCAGGCTCTTGTCCCAGGCTGACCTCAGCTAACCCCGAAAATCTAAATCCTGAACCCTAAATCCTAAGCCCATCTTAAGCCTTAAACGCTAAACCCTAAATCCTAAGCCCTAAACCCTAAATCCTAAATCCTAAACCCTAAATCCTACACCCTAAATCCTTGACTATACGGGCTATAGATAGGATTACATGGGGTTATTTGGATTATTGGGTTGTCCAAAGCTGGCTTGAGCTAAATCGGAAAGCCATAGGGGCTATAGATGGGACTATATGGTTTTGGTTGGGGTTATAAGGGAAAAAGCGGGCATTTTCGGATGAAGGTATCTCAGAACAAGGCTCACCTCTATTGATTTTCATCCACAATTACATAAACGGTCCTGCTAAAAGGATCGCAAAACTGTTCAAACCTGGAGAACCTGCCGCAATCTGGTAGTTTCCCACAACAGGGGGAACCCAATATGTACCCGTAATTTGGACCCTCATCCCCAGACCCTATATACCCCTTTCCTAACCACTAATCTTGGGAAACTCTAAACCATATACACTGCTACATAACACCAGTTTCCATTTCATTTTCCGTGGTCTTTTTCATTTGATTCATTACTAAACCCTACACCTCCCCAATCTCAGGCCCCCACCATGGCAACGAATGCCATGCTCGGGGGTCGTCCAAAGGCAACAACCTGCTCTTCTCTGAATATGGCTAGCGTTTGGGTTTATGGACTAGGTATACAGAGGGTATAGTATAGGGGTGGAATGGCTGACGTGCCTTTGAACGCCGCCAAAGAGAGGAATGGTTGAGAATCAACTGGAAGAGAAAATCGAAACCAGGATGATATTGGTAATCTTCCAAAATAAGGGGACCCCAATATGGACCCCAAGAAACTGTAATCCTTACTATTGGGACCCCCAAAAAGGGCACCCCGATTTTGGGAAACCCCCATATGCTCTTTTAGTTTAGGGGTGAGAGGTAGGTCCATTACGAAACCCCACTGCTTTTTACAACAGTAAGTCTAAGAGGCTACAGGACATGACCTGCTTATAACTTGGGCTTTCC